GACAAAATAGATTTCAGGACAAAAACTATGAGAAAAGATGAAGATTACTATATAATGATAAGGGGGTCAATTCAGCAAGAGCATATAACAATTTTAAATATATATGAACCCAACACTAGAGCATCCAAATATATAAAGCAAATATTTTTAGAGCAAAAGAGAGAGATAGAGCCTAATACAATATTAGTTGGAGACTTCAATATTGGACAGATCACCCAGAGAGAAAATCAACAAAAAAATGTTGGACTTAATCTGCACTATAGAGCAAATGGACCTCACAGATATTTACATAACATGTTATCCAATGGTTGCAGAATACACATTCTTCTCCTCAGGACATGAATCATTCTCAAGGAGAGACCGTACGTTATGCCACAAAACAAGTCTTAAAAAATTCAAACCAAAATAAAAAATGATGTCTAGTATCTTCTCTGACCACAATGGAATAAAACCAGAAATCAATAACTAGAGGAATTTTGGACACTACACAAATACACGAAAATTAAATAATAGGCTCCTGAATAACCAGTGAATCAATGAGGAAATTAAGAAGAAAACTGAAAAATGTATTGAAACAAATGAAAATGGAAACATGCCAAAACCTAAAGGATATAGCAAAAGCAGTATAAAAGAAGTCTAGAGCAATAAGAGCCTACATCGAAAAAGCAGAAAAATGTCAAATAAACAACCTAACAATGTATCTTGGAGAACTAGAAATGTAGGAGCAAACCAAACCCAAAATTAGTACAAGAGATCATAAACATCACAGCAGAAACAAATAAAATTTAAATTAAAACATGCAAAAGATCAATGAAATGAAAAGTTTTTTGAAAAGATAAAATTGACAAACCTTTACCCCCAACTAAGAAAAAACAGACTCAAATAAATAAAATCAGAGATGAAAAAGGAGACATTACAACTGTTACCACAGAAACACAAAGGAACATCAGATGCTACCATAAGCAACTATATGCCAATAAACTGTAACACCGAGAAGAAATGGAGACATTCTTAAACACACGCAATCTACCAAGATTGAACTATAAAGAAATACAAAATGTGAACAAACCAATAACAAATAACGAGATTGACACTATAATAAAAAGTCTTCAGCAAAGAAAAACCCGTGCCCTGATTGCTTGCCTGCTGAATCTGACCAAACATTTACAGAACTTACACCAATGCTACTCAAAACATTCTGAAAAATAGAGGAGGAGGGAATACTTCCAAACTTGTTCTACAAGGCAACTATTACTCTGATACCAAAACCAGAGAAAGACACATCAAAAAAAGAAAACCAGAGGTCAATATCCTTGACAAATGTTGATGCAAAAAACCTTAACAAAATAGTAGCAAGCAAAACTCAACAACACATTATAAAGATCATTCATCATGACCAAGCGGGACTTGTGCTGGGGATGCAAGGATGGTTAAACGCATGTACATCAGTCAATGTGATACATCATATCAACAGAATGAAAAACAAAAGCCATATGATCATTTCAATTGATGCTGAAAAAGAAGTTTATAAAATTCAATATCCCTTCATAATGAAAACCCTTAAAATGATGAGGATAGCTGGACACAGTGGGGCATGCCTATAGCCCCAGCTACACAGGAAACTGAGGCAAGAGAATGGCTAGAGCTCAGGCATTCTGGGTTGTAGTGCACTATATTGAGTAGGTATCTGCACTAAGTTCAGCATCAATATGGTTATCTCCCAGAAGTGGGGAACCACCAGGTTGCCTAAGGACGGGTGAATTGGCCCAGGTCAGAAACAGGGCCAGTCAAAACTCCTGTATTGATCAGCAGGGAGATTGTGCATGTGAAGAGCCACTGCACTATGATATGTTGTCTACAAGAAGCATACTTCATCTATGATGATACATAGACTGAAAATAAAGAGACATAAAAAAATATTCGATTCCAAATGAAGCAAACAAACAAACAAAAAACAGGAGTCACTATTTTTACATCAGACAAAATAGATTTCAAGACAAAAACGATACAGCCTAGCAACAAAGTGAGACTCCATATTTAAAATAACTAACAAAATAAAAATAAATAAAAAAATTTTTTAAAACACTGAGTATACCTCAGCACAATAAAAGCCATATATAATAGACCTATAGCTAGTATCATACTTGTTGTGTTAGTCCATTCTTGTACTACTATAAAGAAATATCTGAGACTCAGTACTTAATAAAGAAAAGAATTTTAATTGGTTCATGGTTCTGCATGCTGTATAGGAAGCATGACGCTGGCATTTTCTTGGCTTATAGGGAGGCTTCAGAAAACTTAAAATCATTGCAAAAGACAAAGAAGGAACGAACACTTCACATTGTCAGAGCAGGAGAAAAAGAGAGACATACCACCAACTTTTAAACAACCAGAATTCATGAGAACTCACTTACTATCATGAGACCATCACCAAGGGGGAAATCCATCCCCATGATCCAGTCAACTCCCAAATGGGATCACATTGAGTTACAAAGCTTCTCCAACAGTGGGGATTAGAATGAGACATGAGATTTGCGCAGGGACGCAGATCCAACCCATAACAACCCTGAAAGGGAAAAACTAAAAGCCTTTCCTCCAAGATCTGGAACAAGGCAAGGATATACACTTTCACATCTGTTATTCAACACAGTACTGGAAAGCTTACCTAGAGCAATTGAATAAGAGAGAGAAATGAATGGTATTCAAATTGGAAAGGAAGATATTAAATTATCCTTGTTTGCAGATGATACGGGCTCACACTTGAAAAAAATCCTAAAGAATCCAACAGAAACCTATTAGAACTGATCAACAAATTCAGCAAAATTACAGGACACAAAATCAACATACAAAAATCAGTAGCATTTCTATATGTCAACAGTGAACAATCTGAAAAAGAAATAAAAAAGTAATCCAATTTACAACAGCAGCAAATAAAATAATATACATAAGAATAAACTTAACCAAAGAAGGGAAAGATCTCTGCAATGAAAACTATAAAACATTGATGCCGGAAATTGAAGGGGACACCAAAAAATGGAAAGGCATTCTATGTTCATGGATTGGAGCAATCAATGCTGTTAAAATGTCCATACTACTGCAAACAATCTACAAATTAAATGCAATCCCTGTCAAAATACCAATGACATTCTTTACAGAAATAGAATTTCTAAAATTTATATGAAACCACAAAGACCCAGAATAGCCAAAGACATCCTGAGCAAAAAGAAAAAAATTGAAGTAATCACATTACCTGACTTTGAATTATACTACAGAGGTATGTAACTGAAACAGCATGGTACTAGTATAACAGACACATAGACCAATGGAACAGAATGGAGAACCCAGAAACAAATCCATACATCTATGGTGAACTCATTTTTGGCAAAGGTGTCAAAACCATACACTGGGGAAAGGACAATCTCTTCAATAAATGGAGCTAGGAAAACTGGATATCCATATGTAGAAGAATGAAAGCAGACCCCAATCTCTTGTAAAAATTAAAAAAAAAATGGATGAAGAATTAAATCTAATATCTCAAACTACGAAACAACTAAAAGAAAGCATTGGAAAAACTCTCCAAGACATTGGTGAGGGCAAAAACTTCTTAAGTAATTCTCCACAAGCTAGGCAACCAAAGCAAAAATAGGACAAATAGGATCACATTGAGGTATAAAGCTTCTTGTGCAGCAAAGGAAATGGTCAACAAAGTGAAGAAACAACCCACAGAATGGGAAAAAGTATTTGCAAACCATCTACCTAACAAGGGATAGATAAATAAAATATATGAGTTCAAACAACTCTGATTATAAAATGCAAGAAATAATCTGATTATAAAATGCAAGAAAGATCTGAATAGAAATTTCTCAAAAAAAGAGATGCAAATGGCATATAGGTACATGAAAAGGTACTCAACATCACTGATGATTTGAGAAATGCAAATCAAAACTACAATGAGCTATCACCTCACCCCAGTTAAAATAGCTCCTATCTAAAAGATAGGCAAATGCCAGTGAGTATGTGGAGCAAAGGGAACTCTTGTACACTGTGGGTGGAAACATAAATTAGTATAACCACTATATAGAACTGTATGGAGTTCAAAAAAAAAAAAAAACAAAAACCAATAACTAGAACAACCATATAATCCACCAATCCTACCGCTAGGTATATACCCCAAAGGAAAAAAATTCATATATCAAAGAGAGGTTTGTGCTCCCATTTTTTTGTAGCTCTATTCACAATAGCTAAGATTTGGAGGCAACCTAAGTGTTCATCAACAAATGGATAATGTGGTATACGCACACACATACAATAAAGTACTGTTCAGCCATAAAAAAGATGAATGAAGTTCTGTCATTTTTAACAACATGGATGAAACTAGAGCTCATTATTTTAAAGTGAAATAAGCCATGCATAGAAAGACAAACTTCACACATTTTCATTCATGTCTAAAAGCTAAAAGATTAAAACAATAAAATTAATGGAGAGAGAGTAGAAGGATGGTTACCAGAAGCTGGGAAGGGTAGTGGGAAGTGGGGAAGGGAATGGTTAATGGGTACAAAAACATAGTTAGGTAGAATGAAGATGTAGTATTTGATAGCACAACAAGATGACTATAGTCAACAATAATTTATTGTTCATTTTTAATTAACTAAAAGTATAATTGTAATGTTCATAATACAAAGAAATGATAAATGCTTGGAGTGATGGATATGCCATTCACCCTGTTGTGGTTACTACATATTGCCTGTATCAAAGTATCTCATGTACCCCATAAATAGATACACTGACTATGTACCCATACAAATTAAGGATAAAAATTAATTTTAAAAGATAATATGTTGTACTAAATAAGATCTAATCAGTGGGACAAGGCTGAAATAGCTCTGTATTCAGACCAATATATTTTTAAAAACTGGGAATATATACCATCAGTTAAACTTGTTATAGTTTTAGTGAAGATCCAGAATCTTACATGCAGTGAGAAAGAAGAATATGTTTACCTGGAAAGGCAGGCTTTAGTAACAGCACCGTGAAGATTTTCATTAGGATACTGTGACAGCCGACGAGAAATCCGTAACAGTTGTCTGGTAGAAAGTGATGCTGCCAATGATTGTGCCTATCAAAAGACACATTGTGTTAAGAGTCTTGTTTCAACTTGCTAACATCCCTTTAGATGGATATCACAGCAGAATTCATTATTCCTGAAGGGGTAAGGCCAAACTTAAAATAAGTATGTGCTGTTAATTAATTATAAATAAAAATAAACAGAAACCAATTTACACTTAAAACATCGTTGGAGATAGTTTTTTAAAATCTATTTAAAGTATTTATCAATTAAATTTAATTAATGTATTTCAATTGTGCTAAGTTGGAAGTGGGAGGGGCAATAGGGAGAATGTTACATAACACAGGTCACACCTGACTTAGGCTGTACAATTGACTGTTCACTTTTTTCTGCTTACACAAAGCCAGGCTGTTAAAATATCATGAAAAGGCTTAAAGCTTTAAGCAAATTTGTGATTTCTAAAATAGCCAAAAAGAGCTGTAAACAATTTAGGCTGTTGACCATAGAGGTGTAAACCAATTTGTCACTTGTGTTACAGTTTGCTGTTTTGAATCCTCCTATGCTGTCAGAATAATTTCACTTTGTTATCTTGCATTTCCCAAAATTCCATGAATAGAGTTGCTAGTATAGAACTCAGGACACGGTAAGTACTCAAAAAATATTTGTCGATTTGAAATTCTTTTGGCAGGCAGCATAATATAATGGTAAAGTTTATAGGCTTTGGAATCAGACAACTCAGTATCCCATTTACTAGCTGCGTGATCTTGGCAAATTACTTAACCTTTTTAAGCCTCAGTTTCCTCACCTTTAAAATGGCAGTAGTAATGCCCTCACCTTTAAGGTTGTTATAAAGGTTAAATTAGAAAATGATTCTAAAGCACTGAGCACATCTCACATACATATGGGTGCTCAACAAATGGCAGCAATTATTATTTAAAAAGCCTCTTCAAAATGAAAACAAACCCAGCAGAGAAAGGTGATAGGACTTACACATTAGCATATATTTAGTAAATAAGATTATTACTGGCCTAGTTCCTAACTTAGATCAGCAGCATTAGAAGACAGTGATTTTCACTGAAAACCAGAGGAACAAAGCACTTTTGAAGCAACCAGACCTTTGGGAGGGCAAGGCAGGTCAGTGTGAAATGTCACAGAGGGGTCGCCGATCCAAGATGGCCGTTTAGGAACAGCTCAGGATTGCAGCTCCCAGTGAAAGCGCAGAGGGTGAGTGGACGCCACGTTTTTATTGCCCACAGACTAGGAAATTCCCGGGCGGAGGAGCTCCACGGTCGCCAGTGCGGCTGTTTCGGCCAGCGCTGCTGTGCCGGCCAGCGCCGCTGCTTTGCCCCGCGCGGCTGCTTTGTCGGCGCCCCGGAGCCGCGGTTCTTCATACAAAATACACCGGTCCGGGGGCCCTTTTGGCTGGCGATTAGAGCCACGGGAAGTCACCCATTCGCCGGTTCAAAAAGGGGACTGAGCAGAGAACCAGGACAGTAGATTTCAGGGCAAAAAAAAACAAAAAAAAGCACCACAAACCTCAGTGCCGCTGTTTAAGCCTGCGCAGCGAGTGGCCACAGGGGAAAACAAACAGACCCCGGCGCCTCTTCAACAGGCGACTGGAACACCAACTTAAAAAAGGCTCTGAGGCAGGGAGCCAGGCGATCAGGCTCGGCTGGTCTCACCCCCACAAAAGAACAGCAACCAGAAACTCTGGATTGAGAGTTCCACAGCAAGTGCAGCTGAACCTGGGACAGTCCAGCTCTGTGGGGGAGGGGCGTCCGCCATTACCGAGGCAGCCCGCCGTTGCCAAGGCAACCCGCCATTGCTGAGGCAGCCCGCTGTTGCCAAGGCAACCCACCGCAGCAGAGACTCCGCCCCAACAGAGGTGGTCCACCATTGCCAAAGCAGTTCTAACTACACCCATATAAATAGGACTGCAGGGAAGTTCACTCGGCAGCTGGGCGGAGCCCACAGCAGCTCAGCAAAGCTGCTATAGGCCGACAGTGACTAGGCTGCCTCCTTGCTGGACTGGACAGGTCTGAAGGAAAAAAAAAAAAAAAAAAAGAAGGCGGCAGCATAACGGAAACCCATAAATAAAGCCCTAAATCCCTGGGACAGAGCACCTGGGAACAAAAAGCAGTTTATGAGTACTGCTGCAGCAGACCTAAAAGTACCTGCCTAGCAGCTCTGAATGAACAACAACAGAGCTCGCAGCTCACCATTTGAGCTCCTATAAAGAAGAGACCATCTCCTCAAGCAGCTCCCTGACCCCTATATATCCAAAAAGACACCTCATAAAAGAGAGATCAGATTGACACTAGGCGGGTATCCTTCTGGGACAAAGATAGCAGAAGAAGAAAACTGGTAACAACCCCTGCTGTTCAGCAGCTGCTGCAGGTGAACCCCAGGCAAGCAGGGCCTGGAGTGAACCTCAGCAGACCTACAGCAGAGGGGCCAGACTGTCAGAAGGAAAACCAAGAAACAGAAATAACCTCATCATCAACAAACAGAATGTCAATCTGAAAGATTTGAGACCCAATCTGAAAGCCAACAACCACAAAGTCGACAGGTGGATAAATCCTTAAAGATGGGAAGAAACCAGCGCAAAAAGGATGAAAACACCCGAAACCAGAACACCTCTCCTCCTAAAAGGGATCACAACTCCTCACCAGCAAGGGAACAAGGTTGGAGGGAGAACGAGTGTGATGAAATGACAGAATCAGACTTCAGAAGGTGGGTAGTAAGAAACGTCTGTGAACTTAAAGAACATGTTCTAACCAAATGCCAAGAAACTAAGAACCTTGAAAAAAGATTTGATGAAATGCTAACAAGAATGGACAAAATAGAAAGGAATATAAGTGAATTGATGGAGCTGAAAAACGCAACACGAGAACTTCGTGAAGCATGCGCAAATATCAACAGCCGAATAGACCAAGCAGAAGAAAGGATATCAGAGGTCGAAGATCAACTCAATGAAATAAAACGGGAAGGCAAGACTGGAGAAAAAAGGGTAAAAAGGAATGAACAAAGTCTCCAAGAAATGTGGGACTATGTGAAAAGACCTAATCTACGTTTGATAGGCGTACCCGAATGCGATGAAGAGAATGAATCCAAGCTGGAAAATACTCTTCAGGATATTATCTAGGAAAACTTCCCCAACCTAGCAAGGCAGGCAAACATTCAAGTCCAGGAAATACAGAGAACACCACAAAGATATTCGTCAAGAAGAGCAACCCCAAGGCACATAATCGTCAGATTCACCAGGGTCGAAATGAAGGAGAAAATACTAAGGGCAGCCAGAGAGAAAGGTCGGGTTACCCATAAAGGGAAGCCCATCAGACTCACAGCAGATCTCTCAGCAGAAACCCTACAAGCCAGAAGAGAATGGGGGCCAATATTCAACATCCTTAAAGAAAAGAACTTTCAACCCAGAATCTCCTATCCAGCCAAACTAAGCTTCATAAGTGAAGGAAAAATAAAATCCTTTGGGAACATGCAAGTACTCAGAGATTTCGTCACCACCAGGCCAGCTCTACAAGAGCTCCTGAAAGAGGCTCTACACATATAAAGGAACAACAAGTACCAGCTCAACTAAAGGGCAAAACAGCTGGCTAGCACCAAAATGGCAGTATCAAATTCACACATAACAATATTAACCTTAAATGTAAATGGACTAAATGCCCCAATCGAAAGACACAGACTGGCAAATTGGATAAAAAGACAAAACCCATCGGTGTGCTGTATCCAGGAAACCCATCTCACATGCAAGGATACACAAAGGCTCAAAATAGAGGGATGGAGGAAGATTTACCAAGCAAACGGAGAGCAAAAAAAAAAGCAGGAGTTGCAATTCTCATCTCTGATAAATTAGACTTTAAAGCAACAAAGATCATAAGAGACAAAGAGGGACACTACATAATGGTAAAAGGATCAATGCAACAAGAAGAGCTAACGATCCTAAATATATATGCACCCAATACAGGAGCACCCAGATACATAAGGCAAGTTCTTAATGACTTACAAAGAGACATAGACTCCCACACAATAATAGTGGGAGACTTTAACACCCCATTGTCAACATTAGACAGATCAACCAGACAGAAAATTAACAAGTATATCCAGGACTTGAACTCAGACCTGGACCAAGCAAACTTAATAGACATTTACAGAACTCTCCACCCCAAAGCCACAGAATATACATTCTTCTCAGCACCACATCACACCTACTCTAAAATTGACCACATAATTGGGAGTAAATCACTCCTCAGCAAATGCAAAAGAACGGAAATCCTAACAAACAGTCTCTCGGACCACAGTGCAATCAAGTTACAACTCAGAAATCAAAAACTAACCCAGAATCGCACAGCTTCATGGAAATTGAACAACTTGCTCTTGAATGTTGACTGGATAAACAATGAAATGAAGGCAGAAATAAAGATGTTCTTTGAAACCAAAGAGAATGAAGACACAACATACCAGAATCTCTGGGACACATTTAAAGCAGTCTCTAGAGGAAAATATATAGCAATAAGTGCCCACATGAGAAGCAAGGAGAGATCAAAAATTGACACCCTATCGTCAAAACTGGAAGAGCTAGAGGAGCAAGATCAAAAAAACTCAAAGTCTAGCAGAAGACAAGAAATACCTAAGATGAGAGCAGAACTGAAGGAGATAGAGACACAAAAAACCCTTCAAAAAATCAATAAATCCAGGAGCTGGTTTTTTGAAAAGATCAACAAAATAGACAGACCACTAGCCAGATTAATAAAAAAGAAAAGAGAGAATAACCAAATTGATGCAATAAAAAACGATAAAGGGGATATCACCACAGATTCCACAGAAATTCAAACCATCAACAGAGATTATTACAAACAACTCTATGCACACAAACTAATAAAGCTGGAAGAAATGGATAAATTCCTGAACACTTGCCTCCTGCCAAGCCTAAACCAGGAAGAAGCCGAAACCCTGAACAGACCCATAACAAGGTCTGAAGTTGAGGCAGCAATTAAGAGCTTACCACCCAAAAAAAGCCCAGGTCTAGATGGGTT